CTTTTAACTATGAATTGAAGTTTATTAATTTTACCAATGAATTCTTCATTCAATCCCAGTTTCATTTAAAATTTGAACTTAAATTCATAGGCAATGGAAGTCCGGCAAATTTTCGTGAGTGAATTTCTTCTTTGATGAAATATTGTGCTCAAAATTTTCCAATACGAGTTCCCAAAAAAAATCGGAATATATGAATGACTATTAGCTATTGTCTGTTGAATATCTGTACCTAATTTTTTCTCAAAGAACCCCCAATGGAGGGTAATTCTTTATGGAACATGTATGTGTTCCTTTGAAAAGCGAAATGTAAAATTCGCTGAAAAGAATTTTCTACTGAAAATATCCAATTTTGTTTGTTCTTTCGCGCTGATGTAAGTTAGGCTCAGAAAATCAAGTCAATATTCTGAGGATTTTATTCTGCATTTGAGCCCAAAAATATTTCTTCTTTTTTCTATTCATCAATTGTACGTGGTGGGGCAGATGAATTTCTCTCATTTCGGAAGATTGGTGAAAACGTACCAATCAACTGAAAAAAAAAATTACTCGCCAAAAGATTATATCACGTTCATTTTCTCGAACGTATGATTCTTATATGATTTCTTGGTGTGTAGGGTGGGTATACACCGAGAGAGTCACACAATCGTCTGAAAGGTTTTCACCTTATTTCTACATCTTGGACGATATTCATTCACCTTAGACTTTAGGTAAATGGAAATGGACTCAACTAGGAGAGAGCAGAAGCCAATAACGCCAAGAAGTTACTTCTCACGTCCAGAAGTTACCTTCCAGGGATCATCCCTCGAAGAATAAAAATTCAACGTGCTGTGACCTCTGTAACACATTGCTCTTTTGAACAGAAGCTTTCGGTGAACGCACTAAAATCTTCTATTTCTGCCTTCACAAACATTGATGAGATATGGTCAGAGGTCACAGTCACATGACGACACTGCACAGCAAACAGTGATTTGGAGGGTCTTTGGTGAAGTTTTTGAGTGCTTGCTGGAAGTCGTCCGACAGATGAAAATCAGACTTTTCGATAGTCACAATATTGCGGTGGAGGGCACTTGTGATAAGATCACAAGTTTTCAACATTCTATACGCCGTCCCGAGTCCGCCCAGGACATTTTCTGAGAAATCATGGTTTTGTAATGGTGCAAATTGAGATCAGTATCGAAATTCACCTCACTCTTCTCGACTATCTCAGACGCTTATACATTAAAGGCATGTTCACATACAAATCAACGATATTTTCTGAATTTCCGACACTAACATCCGCGACATTTCATTCCAGTCTGGCGCAGATGATGTTGCCCTAAATTTGTGCACGAACGGCAAAATTTTTTTCGGTCGTAACATCACTTTATGACGATAAAATTCTAGAGTTTGCATTTCGGGATGAAGCAGAACCGATGAAGAAGACGTAGTATAACAATACCATTATTCCTTGTGATTCAAATCAACTCCATCATCTAAGACCTCTCGATCATCTACTGTGATTTATGAAAATGTCCACCTATCAATGATTTTTCACAACCTCCACTTAGTCCATTCAGATAATAACTTCAATGATATAGTTACCCGTAAAAATTGCTATCAGAGGAGAGATAATTCAAACACCAAAATGAAAGTTTAGGTTAACCAGCAGTAAACCCTTCGAAGAATACTCTCTCCATGTTCGAAATTTTCAAAGGTCGCATGCAGCTTCTAAGTTGCATCCTGTTCTAACATATGGACCGCGGACAATCTAATTTTTCTCTCACACATATTTAATCTCTTCAATTGTGATTGTTTAAACCCTAATCACAAAGAATAATGCACGAATGGTTTTCTGCTGGCGAGCCTTCACTGTTATTTTGGTAATTAAATTATCTTTTTATCTTTTATCAGATAGAACTTTTATTGGTTACCATATCTATTGAGTTATCTGAATATACTCAATGAAGGCGATGATAAAAAATTGATCGAAAAAAAATTTATTTAAACATAGCCTTGAACACTTTTCGAAAGGTAATTTATTAGAGGTGTCTTTAAAAATCAATAATATCTCTTAAAAAATGGTTTCATCTTGTTATCATAATGGTGCTCTGATACTGAGAAGATAATATCATAGTTGAGAACAGCGTAAGGTAAGGTAAAGCACATTATAGAAGTTATACTATGATATCAATGTTAGCACACTTGCAGTAAGTTTTCCTCAAACATGAGATCATTAAGCTGGAAATGACATCAACTCTTTACTTCCTACCAGGTATTATCTGGCTAACATTCTATTGAAAACAATCCGACATGAATTTTCGTGGGATGTTGCGTTTGCGGCGAACAAAACCTTCTTCAGAACTTTGAAGAACACTATTTGAATAAGTAGTAGACAATTTTGAACTAGCCATATAATGATAGGCCCTACCTCATCATAACAGACCAGGAAGTATAACTGGGAAAACGCATAATCTGAGGTATTCATGACTTCATCACACTGTTTAACAAATTATCGAAAGAGGTTTGTTTAGTTTCCTTGCAAGCATTTTTGAAGCACTCTGAAGCATCTGCATATACGAGGTTTGTTCAAAAGATAAGGTAAATTTTGAATTCTTTCGAAAAGCGTTCAATATTCATTTTGTCACCTTCAAAGTAATCCCCCTCATATAAATGCACTTATGCCAGCGCTTCTTCCAATCCTCGAAGCAATTATGAAATGCGCTTCTCGGTGTGGCAATCAGCCCATTCTTCGATACCGACTTCATCTGATCAATTGTGGCAATACGATTTCCAGTTATTGGTATTTTCGATTTTCAGAATAGAAAAAAATTGCAGCGCGACAAATCTAGCGATTGTGGTGATTGAGGCATGATAATGGTGTCATTTTTGGCTTGAGAATCACAAACAAGTATGGATTAGAGCTGATGCATTATCGTGATGCAGAATCCATGATTTGTTTTCGCACAATTCTGATCATTTCGAGCTATATTTCTTCACTCAAACGTTGCATAACTTGTTGAAGTATTGTATAACCTGTTGAAGAAGTCATGGAAACCATGCTGTTGTAATCGAAGAAAACGGTGAGCTAAACCTTCATATTTGATCAAAATTTTTTAACGATCTTGGCTCTTCTGGACCGCTTCAATTGGAATGATTGAGCCTTGGTTTTCGACGTCATAACCATATGCCCCCGTTTCGACCAGTTATGACCCTTTTGAGGGAATCTGAATGGTTGCTGACATCATTCAACAACTCCTGAGGAAACTATAGAAAAAAAATTCATCAATTCCGTAATAAACTTCGCTTCCTCACGTTTCGTGCCAAAATGTCCAAGAAAATTGCTTGACATAAGCCGATTGATATGCCAACATTCTCTGCAACTTTCCTAATAGTGATTCGACGATTTTCCAGAACCACTTTTACCATTGTTTTGATGTTTTCTTAGCTTTTTGGCGTGGTTGCAACTCCAGGACGCTCATCGTCATCAACATCTTCTCGGCTGTAAAGCGCTTAAAAACTATTTTTTCAGACAAAGTTGACTCCCCGAATGCCACTGTCAACAATTCGAGTGCGTTGGAGCTTTTTATTGTATTTTTGGAACTTTTACAGATTATTCGATCGATTTTTTTCGAAAGTAGAAAATTGAAAAACAGACAAAAACGTGATCAAGGTTTTCAGTTGTCAAAAAGTATCTACTAATTGAAAACGGGGAATAATATCAACATATGAGAAAAGTATGTGTACCAAAGTAATAAGAAAACGATCCGATGATCGAAAGTGCACAGCATGCGAAAATTCGAAATTCACCTTTTCTTCTTCAATCGACCTCGTATTACTTTTTGAGGAGATCGAATATCGTTCGAATTGCCATTCCTCAACAAAAATCGTTTCGAAATCAATAATAAGGTGCATTTATGTTCGAATACTATGATTTGTTGATTAATTGAAAAACATTCAATTAATTTTTTTCAGTTAGTTTTTGTATGTTGTATATACTGAATTAAATATCTCAAACAAACAAGGCAATTTGAAATGTTTGGATTTCGAATAGAATTGTGATTTTTCACTGAAAATTGAACGAACATCTTCTTCAGATCCATATATCAGGATGAATAATTTTTATAACGATATTTTCCGTCAAATGAAAACTCTGTATTTTCATCATACACCTAAAAACCCTGCAATATTTGCGAGAATCATTCAATAGTGGAGAGTATTCTCACTACCTCCTTTCATAAGGAAATAATTCAAGTCTTAGATTGGAGTTTTTACGACACTGAGGAGATAGAAACCCCCTGGTGATATCTTCTTCTATATATTGAAATTTATGTTTCTACGATTTTATGGCACGTTCGCGAAATGAACAGAATAATCAAATCAACCATTTCAACTCGGAGAGTGTGAAGTTGATGATTTCGGTGTTCATTCCAAGCTGTCATATTCACATTCAATTTGCCAAAACACTGCATCAATGAGTGTTATGAGCCGTCTATGTCTCTTCATTCAATGCCATGAGATCAATGACTGGAAACGCATGCTAACTTTATAAAATTATTAGAACATCTTTCATATTTGATTGTTCGAGAGGTTTTTCCCACCATAATGCGTTCAGTGCAAAGAACATCTGAAAGCAAAAAATGGTCACATTCTAATAATAAAGAACTGATGCGAATCACATAATAATATTATTAAAAATTCAGATATTGAGAAGTTTGATATATATATAAATATATATATATATATATATATATATATATATATATATATATATATATATATATATATAATATTATATATATATATATATATATATATATATATATATATATATAATTCAATTCAATCTAATTCATATTCAATTTAATCTCATGTTCATTAACGAAAAAATTCAATAATATATCTGGGAGGATGGGAAGATGTTTACTCACGTTCGTGCTGTTTGAAAACGACAACCCGTGCGTCGATGACGGCTTGCGAACAAAAGAGTAATTAGATATAGTCGGAATTGCATCGCGAATTAGTAGAACTCGGTAGCTTAGTTGGTAGAGCAACAGAGCGTAAACTTGAGAGACCTGGGTTCGTATCCCAGTCGAGGTTGAAAACTTTTGTGGTGTAATTTCGATTCCAAATTTAAATATTTAAATATTTCTTATATATATATATATATATATATATATATATATATATATATATATATATATATATATACAAGCTTTTTTAACGGTCTTATCAATATAAATATTAATTCAATATAAGGGTTGTTTAGACCTTATGAGCTATAAGTACAAATTCTTTCTTATTAAGCCAAGCTTTCGAATTTATCAATTCATCATCAGGGCAATCTACAAATGTAGCATTTACCACTTATCTCAACTCGATTTATGTATGTAAATTGTCAATTCAAGAATTTAGGTTGTGATTGTAAGATGCTTTTATTTCTCATCGACCCCTGATGATGAATTTCTTAATAAGAAAGAGTTTGTACTTATGCTCATTTGCTATAATATATAATATATATATATATATATATATATATATATCTATATATATATATATATATATATATATATATATATATATATTGATAAGACCGTTAAAAAAAAGCTTGTATAATTAACATGGGTTTTCTTTCAAGAAACAAATCTAACTGTGGCAAAGGCATCACAGACAGCCTTAACAAGAGGATTAACATCAAGGTTGGTAGTCTCGTGGACGGACGAGTTTTTCGTTGCAATACGAGCGAAGACAGTTGACACCTAATCATATGATTCAACACATGAAAAGTCAATATAATCTCTTCGAAAATAACAACAATGGCATTATGTATGAAGTAGACAAACTGAACAAAAGTCAGATACTGATAAACTCAGCACAATTTATGCTTACTGGATTACAGAAGACCGGAGAAGAACAACCAACAGAGAAGAAGAGTGAAATAAAAGTAGGGTTAAACGTTTGACATAGCATTGTTTAAAACCGCGGAAATGATAATTAGTAATATATGTGAAAACTTATCTGAATCAATCGTTTATAAACTGATAAATTATATTGTAATATTGTGTTATATGGTTTTGCTATGTGTTGTGATAGGGAATTCAGGGGTCGATGTAGATTTACCACTTATCTCAACTCGATTTATGTATGTAAATTGTCAATTCAAGAATTTAGGTTGTGATTGTAAGATGCTTTTATTTGTAGATTGTTCCTGATGATGAATTGAATAAACTCGTAAAGCTTAAGGGCTTAATAGGCAATAAGAGAATCAATTTTTTGTACTTATAGCTCACAAAGGTCACCATGTGAAATTGTCTCAAATGAAGGAAAACTTTTCTTTATCAAAATTATATATATATAAATATATATATATATGAATATATATATATATATATATATATATATATATATATATATATATATATATATATATCTGAAGTGAACTGATATAATTTTTTTTTTCTGCATATCAGAGTGAATTGAGATGAATAACATTGTTGGTCAACTGTAGAAACACTTATTTTTCCAATTGCCATACATAAAATACATAAAATTGTAGAATTCAGATCCATAAAGCTTGAGATGAATTCACATCAGAGAAATGTGACCACCATCGTGTTTCTTTTCTAGTAATTTTCCTGATTAAACCTGATTAAACGAAAAGACAATTGTGTAATAGTGAAGTGGTGTCAGAAACATTTGACATACGACAGATGAATCTCTAACTAGCCAAATATTAAAAAATTCAGCACAGCTTCAGCAACAAGAAACACTGACATTCCTCTGTGCTGATAGCTGGAAGATAAAAAGTAGAAGGGAGCTTCAGTTTTATGTGATTGATATCTCTTTTAATCTTCAAACTCCTAATCATTTTCTTAGCTTTAAAAATTCGTGACAAATATTCTCATGTAGATATTCATGGCGTACAATTTTTTTCATAGTTTCATGTCATTTTATTCATTTTTTCGTAACCATTTAAAAGCGATCCAAGAAATTTCTTTCAGGTTTAGTAAATATTTCAATTTGACTAGTCGATCATATGCAATTCGGAAAATAAATGCAAAAATAAAATCGACAACTGACATGAATCATTGGCGTCCATTCTCTGAGAGTTCATCAAATCAGTGAAGAGTTAAGTGTATTGATTCTGCATGAACGAAATTAATCTATAAATTCAAGTGAATGAAATATTAACTCTCACTCGAACATCAATTCTGCATTATGTTACGTGAATTTCAGTTCACATTCATAATTGATCCCTTCTTTTTGAATACTTCATGAATATTCAACGAAAACCAGCTCATAGTATATAAAATTCATGAACCAATCAGAATACAGGCAACAATCACTTTTATGGAAATTCCGTTATCCGTTTCGAAAAGAAAATTACTTTTTCATTATTATGATTTTCGTGAAATTACGAAATATTGCACAGAGGATTCCGTTTTTCAGTTATATTCTCCAAAAATATATCAGGACTAGGTTAACCTGTGAAATTTCTATTGAAGTAAAATTTAATGTATATATACATATATATTCTTAATGTTTTTGGCAATAACCGGTTATTTTCAATGTTCAAATTATTCTCGTTCGAGTTTCGTTGTATATCGCAACTTTGTCAAAACTAATGTATAATTGAATTTAATGAATTACTATAGATGTCAAAACGTCAAGCTCATTTTTTCGGAAAAATAAAATTGGCTTTTTTGGTTTTTTGAATTCCGAGGAATATCTGGGTTAGCATTGGCTTCGGAAGTTTTAGTCTTCTTCACAATGAGGAAACCTCTGAGAAACTCATAGTAAGCCAGGTGATTCTTTTCAGTGCGATTTTTATATACATACATATATTTGCATTTAGTTGAGATTTATGTGTGTGAAATGGATGGTAGATCATGAACGAATGAGTTTTGAGATATAATGTTTGGTGATTATTGTGCATTCATTATGTGGGTGTTATTTGTGAGGTTTATCAAATCGTTGTAAATAGAATTAAGATATTTTATGCCTATTTCATTAACTGTGTAATCCAAATTTTTACGAATGTGTAACATTTCTAAAATTTCTCTACACTTTTTGTCCTTCTCAGTTGTTAAACTCTTGGTATTGTTGTAATCAAAATCGTGTTTTCCAGTTATTTTCTGTTTATTTGAGGCTAATATTTGAGTTTTTGCATATTTATGTGATTACATGATTTTGCGACGTTTGTCCTATATAGAATTTACTGCAGTTATTGCAGATAAAAAACAGTTATTGATAAAAAGTAGATCCAAAGAGAATAATTATATTCCCCTACTATATATTCCAAGATTAAGGGTTTTATGAAAAGTCGTTCAACAATTACTAATCTAACAAATATCATTCAGTACATTGCTGAGGGTATTGTCAATCGCAAACAAACTGATGTGATATACATGGACTCCTCTGAAGCGTTCGACAGGCTTTACCACGGAATTCTATTGTATAAACTAGGCACTTTCGGGCTCTCGACATCCCTCATCAAACTTTTCGAATTGTACTTGGTAGGCAGAAAGCAATGGGTTTTTAGCAGGGTGTACCTATAATACATCAATTGAGCACCGTGCTCCATCTGGAGTGTCCAAAGGTTCCATACTTGGTCCTTTGCTTTTCACAATGTTGATAAATGATATAATCGATGTCGTAGATGTTAAGGGGTTTTTGTTCGCAGATGACTTTTAGATTTTTCATTATGTTTCCAGCATTGGTGACTGTGAACGCACTGCCAGAAACTTGAGTAATTTTGTAAATTGGTGTGATCTCAACAAATTAACCCTCAACATCTCCACAAGGAAATACCATGCAATAATCACCTTGCATGAAATAATCAACAATAAAGTGAAATGTCAAGAATTATTGCAAAATCTTAACTTTATTGTTCCAAGAGTTTGTTCCAGAAGCGAATTCACGTTCTACCGTCCAGCAGCTAGTCAAACGTTCTAAAATTTTCTACATTGCACACGATGTGTGAACAATGTAATATTGTGGGAGCTGAGCTGGATATTTTCAACTGTTTTGTTACTAATATTGAGGCAAGTTTCCTTGATATGCATAATCTCTGCTTGAACAATCATTTATGTGTATTCACGTATATGATTCATACTCACTCATATACTTGTATGTGTGTATAAGTATTAATATGTGAATGTATATTGATGTGTGTGTTTATCTTTATGTGTATGTTTAAGTTTGGTCAGCATTTAATTTTTTTTATTCCTATAATTATATTTCATTTTATCAGTTGTGATTGTGTCACGAACTCTTTCTTCTAAAATTGGACTCTAAAATTTGAAAGTACAAACTTCTGAACTTTTGTTCTACCAATTTCATTTTTAGTGTTTGTCGTGTTGCCTGTTTTGTATTTAGGACCTCTCCTGTAGAACAGTGTATGTTGAATAAAAACTAAATAAATAAAATTGGATACAAATACTTACTCAATACGTGAAATGAAGATGGATAGATCTGGTTATCAATTCTGTCTTCAATGAAATATATACTTTTTTCTGTGTAATAAAATAGTTGCGTTGACTGTAGCGATTTGATCGACGTGATAAGTATAATGATATCACGCGACAATTTCAGTCTGTTTCTTAGCTACATGCTTATTGGGGTTCTTTATTCAGGAAATGAAAATACCGTCGAAGAGAATGACCACAACATTGCGTGTTGATTACATTTTACTGCAGATATTCATTATGAGCAATATCCAGTTGTGAAAATTTCTTTGTTTTTCTTTTTACAGCGGAATTTCAATTACTAAATTTTCTTCAATTGCGGTCAAGACACAGTCGATAAGAAAAGCTTTCAATTCGGTTATTAGGCAAATAACGTATTATTTTCGAATTCAATTTGTGTACACTGTTTGTTGAATTGATGTTGCTGGATTAATTTCAGCAATACATTCAAATTTGCACTAAATCTCCAAAAAGGATGAGAACAAAGGATGGTCAATATGTATGTCTTATGAAGGCATCAAAATGACATCTCTACAGTGAAATACAGGACGGAAAACTCAATTTCGGAGCAAAGGAAAACGTCAGTAATTTGCTAATTGAAGATTTGAATTTCTCCCAAATAAGAAATTCATAA